TGCTGGTAAGTGTTGCTTTTTTACATTTAGTAAATACATGTACAATGAAAGACAAAAGTTGTGTCGTGAAATTTGGTGAAAACATATGCCGAAGGGCTTCTTTTGGTGCGTTCTGCCTTATGGTAGGGGCTCTCATAATGTTTCACGAGTTATATTTAATATTTGGACAAAACCGTGACACGACTTTTGTCTTTGATTGTACACATATATGGGTCGATAATTTTTATCTTTTTTATTTTTTGTAGGAGGGGGGGGGAAGTGCCTCGATAAGTCGAAATTTGGGATAACTCAGCAAGGCCAGAGCCCCATAGTGCCAAGTTATCAAGGGTTTAGTATATTAAATATTTTTCGACCATCTTGCCTCAGGTGGTTTCCTTAAGAAGCCGATCGACAACATTGGTGCATCGTGGGATGAGGTGAAAGTGTCTACAGTGAATGGTGTGTGGCATAAAGTTTGGCCTGAGTGTGTGCATGGCCTCACTGGGTTCAAGAGAGGGTGGAGTAGATTCAGCGCAACATTGTGACCCTGTTGCACCAGGCTGGGTTTAATGAGGTCGACCGGGAAAACGTGACTGAACTTCTTGACAGTCACACTGAGGAGCATAGCAATGAGGACCCCATGAACCTGGAACAGCAGCGAGTGATGGAAGAGGAGGAAGTTGAGTTAGAGGAACCTGACAAGCTTCTCAGTAATGAACCTGTTGTGGCTAAACTTCCCCCTTATTGATGACATACTTGCTAGTTTCTCCGAACGTGATCCAAACTCGAACCAGAGGGCAGGAGTGAAACGTTTGGTGGAGAAAGATATTAAGTGCTACAGAGACCTCTACATAGAAAAGTAACAGAGGACACATCAGGTACCCATCACCAGGTTCTTCAAGCTAAAGCAAGAGCCAATGACACTGCAGTCATCATTTGCACCCAGCACCTTCCACCTAAGGCATCACCCACTTCAAGTCTAAAGCTCTCACCCTGCCATCCACCCATGATAGTCCAGACTCTTCAGCCTCATTTTCTGACTCTGAGAGTGAGTGACGGCCCAAATAACAGTAGTCCTCCAACTTCAGAGAGAACACATCTAACATGGACTTAGTGAGTGTTAGTTTACTGTAGTGTACTGGAGTTTATTTTATAGCAAATTCTACGTATTTTCCCTCATTTGACCATTTGGCAATCTTTTCACTCCACACGGGACACAAGATAGCAAACAGCACGTAAGAACTGTATATTCTCCATGTTTTTGATAATTATTATTATATTTTGTTACACATGTAACAAAGTAAAAGAAAATGAACGAAATTACATATATCTACCCAAATTGCGAGTTGAACAATAACATAGCCAGACAGCATCTGGGCTACACAATTATGTGCCATCTCCACGGATATTATTCCTCGGTATCCCTCGTTTAGAATATTATATCTAATTTTCCCTCGCTCAATGATCATTTCATTTAGGGATCTGCTTTTTAGGAACGCATCCAGATGCTAAATGAATGATGCCTGTCCAGGTATTGTTTAGCGAAGGAACAGGCAACTTAGTTACACTTTTAGGCTTTAATGGGTGCTGTCCCATAAGCCTTTAGTCTTGCCAACCACGGGGTTTTTCAGGAACCTAACCCCTGCGGTTGACGAGGGACTACTGTATATTATACAATTTTAGAGATAGAACACGGCCTTATCTTACTCCCTGCCTAACTGTGAACCAATTAGTTAGTTCATTATTTACTAACCTTGCAGCCTCCTGTTGCCAGTAAAGGTTCTTTAAAAATATAATATTTCCTTCATTAATGCCAATTTTTTTCCAAGATCTCTGTAAGTGTATTGTCCTCCTGTGTCCTATAAGTTTTTCCCCAGTCTCTAACATTACTTCTTTGTAATTATTCCATTGTTGTCCTGGTCCCTGTTCATCAAAGTCACCTTCTAGTAATACTGAAAATCTATTTTTGGTTTCACTATCATATTCTGTCCCTGCCCATGTTTTGAGCTTATCTAAATCCCATTTGATTTTGCCCATAGTTTTTCTTTTAAATTTGTGAAACTTTAGCCACACTAAACTCATTACTGGGACGTGATCTGACCCACAATCTGCCCCTGGATAGGTCTTGGACCGGGTTATTGAATTTCTAATTTTTTATGAATTAAAATGTAAAATATTTTATTCCTAACTCTGTTGTTTACATTGTCCTGGGGTGAGACCCATCCATAGAGATGCCTAGGGTGTTGTTCAAACCACGTATTTGAAATCATTATCTTGTTTACCTTACAAAAGTCAATTAATATTTCTCTTTTCTCATTTCTATTACCCAACCCCCTGGTCCTACTTCTGGTGCTACTTTCCCTTTCCCAACTTTTGTGTTAAAATTACCCATTATAATCAGACACTCATTAAACTTTACGGTGTCTTTTACTTTCTTTAAATATTCATAATATTGTTCTAAGACTTCTTCCTCACTATCATTTGTTGGTGCATAAACCTGTATTATTACCAAGTCCATAGGTGTAGCATTAAACTCTATCTGACACTATTCAATATCCCTTTACACTGATACTCGACTTCTGGTTTACAAGAATACCAACACCTCTCTCATGTTTTTCACCGCCTCAATATATAAAGTATGAATCTTCACCACTAATGCTATTTGAACCTGCCCATCTTACTTCACTTAATTACAGAATGTTCCACTGCAATCTTTTTATTTCCCTACAAACATTTGCATGTTTACCAACCTCATTATTTTGATGTCCTCACATTCCATGTTCCAATATTTATTTTGTGTTTGTTCATTTTTAAACTCCAATGTCCAAGGCTTTGTTTTGTTCAGACAGTACTTGCTAGTTCTCGGTGGCATACTACCCGCAAGCACAGGAGGCAATGCTGTTGAACCTTTAAGTGACAATGATCCAACAGGAATGTCCCAGAGTTGTTTATTTTGTCTTTCCGTGATTTTTCAAGGACAAGAGATTAAGTTAATGAGATTGGATGCCCCAAACCTTTTCTCATCAGAAGATTAATTAGAGGGAATAGAAAAAGTTAGGAATAATACAATATATTGTATTGCATTTTCATGTTCTATAAGTGACTTAAAAGATACTCTCATCTAGAACCCCTGCTCGCTGGAAATATGTCGACGACTCCACCATTGGGATCAGCGTCAACAATTCTGCTCCCAACTATACCGCCCTTCAGGATTTATTGAACAGTCTTCAAAACTGGGCCACCAACAACCATGTCACCATCAACCATACCAAGACCATGGTTATGCACATCAACCTCTCCTCCAACATTATCCCACCTCCTTCCATCACTTTAGGTCCGAACACACTCCAGGTTGTAGATTCCACGAAGCTCCTCGGCGTCACCATAGACAACAAACTAAATTGGAAACCACACGTCAGTGAAGTTGTCAAATCCTCCAGTTTCCGTCTCCACCTCCTCCGCCGACTCAAGTCCTTCGGAGTTCCTGCACCCGAGCTCCTCAGTGTTTACACAACATTCATACTTCCCAAGCTCACCTATGCCTCCCCCACCTGGTCTTCCTCCCTAAATGCCACACAATGTAAACACCTAGAAAAAGTGCAAAAGAGGGCATGCATGATTATTCTCTCCCCTTCCTACTCCACATATCAAGAAGCGCTCAACACACTGACCCTTTCGACTCTCACTGACCATCACCACAACCTCATCTGCAAATTTGGTAAGAAGCTTCTACACCATCCTCGACACCGGCTCCTACTACCACCTGAGATCCCTAGCCCGAGAATTGCTGTTCGACACCACAACCGCATCCAGCCCATACGTGCACGAACTGATCGCTATAAGAACAGCCCAGTCCCAACCATTGTAAAAATTATCAATAACTTGTAATAGACCAGTGTATTCACTCCCAGTAAATACTACTTCTTGCACTGTCACTATGTTGAAATGCCCTGTAGTTTGAGCTTTTCCCCATCTAGTTATTATATATCTTATTTGTATTACTTATGTTACTTGTATATTATTTATAATTCGAAACCCACTCCCCAAATATGTAACTTTATATTTTCAGCCTTCTGGCTGCCAAGCTCTTTCAATAAACCGTTAATTATTATTATTATTATTATTATTACTACCAATACCTGCCTTGGTCAAGGAACTGAGAGGCTGTAATGACAGATTATATTGCCTTGATAAATGATATAGAATTGCAGCATAGCTCCTCCTTACACATCTAAATCAGGGTTGAATGATTGCTTTGAACTCTTAGATTGGTTGTTGTCTTCAGATTCATTGGGTTGAAATATTAACATAGATTGACCCTTGTCTTTGACCATTAACTATAATAAATATACTGTATATTCTATTTTGTAACCAGACCATTTATCATTAGCCAACAAGACTGCCCACAGCCCTCCTCAAGGCAGCTGTTTGTGACTCTGTTAGTGCATAACTTTTGGAGGGATAAGTGTTTGTCATCATTTTTATTGAATTCAATATTTGTGACTTTTTTGTGTAAGGCAAGCAGTCCTCTTATTCCAGAAAGTTAAAGTTGGTGCCATAGGCATGACAACCTTCTTGGGCTAATGCAGATACATCACAATAAATACCAAGCCTGAGTAAATAAGGATGCAGTATTGCTGGCACTGGACTTAGCCACCATCACATCTCTTACTACCGTATAATGTTAGGTACTGTTTCACAGCTGGATTGACTCGGGGTGCTCTGGAATCAAACCATCAACTCTTGGGAGATGTAGCAAGTACTCTATCTGCTTGTCAACTGTAATCTTGCGAATTATTATTGTTGAGGTCAGCTGTATGTTAGTGAGGATGCTTTCTACTGTTTTAGCTTTGAATTTTGTGTAACTTTTTTTTTATTTTAATTTTTTGTTTTCAAATATTCGTAATGTTTGTCTAGTGGTATGGGGGATTATGTGGTCCTGGTGTTATGAGTCTTTTGGATGTGATCTACATTAACTTGACATTTCAGTAGTCGTTAAAAATTTTAATTTTTTATTTCAGGCTCTGAGGACATTAAAGATAAAGGATATGCTGAGTATGTTCAGCAGGGCTTCACCATCCCAAGTCTGAGTGATAGCACTGGTAGTGATGCTGTGGTGGTGAATGATGAACCAAAGCCAAGCACATCTGGTTATGTTAGACCCTCCGAGAAACCAGGGAAACAAGAGTACAAGACCAACACATCTGATAATAGTAAACACGAGGAAGGTAGTTCAGCAATAAACATGAGTGAGTTAAGTGGAGGAAATGATTTGACTGATTTTGCAAGAAGTATAAATCAAGAATTCAGCAAACAAGAAAACAATGATTCAGAAGAGGCACAGAATGAAGGCTTAATTACCAGTTTCTCTCAGGTAAGTTACTGGGTCTTGTTTATTGTTCGCTCCAAGAACTAACATTTAATGCCTCTTTCTTGTAGTGGTGATTTTTGTAGGATGGCATCCTCGTAGGTGAGAAACAGTCCTAGTAAATGCAATTATTTAAGTTAAGGCCTAGAATGACTGAATGAAAACATCTTTCTTATACCCCACTGCCTTACTAACTTTTTTGAACTTAGGACTGAACTCATGTATCATAAATGCTCTAAATGGAAGAAGAGTGGCATCATTTTCATGTTTTGTTTGAAATGTGGACAAAGAGAAAAATGCAGAAAATCTGTTGCGGTATAATTTAGCACATAAAACATTAGTACGGGCATCTCCCTGGTTACGGAGGGGTTCGTTTCTGAAAATGTTTCCGTAAAGTGAAGTTCTGTAACACGGGACCATTTTTCCCATTGACTCCCATTATATAATTTGAGATATGTTCCCAAGGAAATTTTTGGGGCAAAAAAAGGTAATTCAAGCACGTACGTACTTGGTAATCTCCCCGCCCGACTGTCAACATTTCACCTCACCCCGTCCCCCCTCCTCCTTCCTCCCTCCTCCCAGCCTGGGGGCAATAATAATAATAATAATAATAATACAGTATTACCCTGCTTTACGCGGGTTTTTTTACGCGTTTCTACTTTTATGCGGTACCCCGCCAGACCCAGAATGTTCACTTTACGCCGTGCATCTACTCTTTTACGCGGAGAGCGGCTGGCGGTCATCTTGCGCCGCGCTATTTTTGGATTCAATCCTCCCGCCATCTCTCCCGCTGTCCCGCCATGTTGGGTAAGCTGCGCGAGTAGGTTGCACAGTGTATGTCTTTGTTGCGTTATCGGTGACGTCAAATTACGTATCGGACTGTGATTGGGCCAAGCATCCTAACTCCCTCCTCGCTACCTGTGATTGGTTTAATGTGATATGACGTGCCCCGCCGCGGAAGCGATGAAGTCCGTTGACCTACCCGCGTCAGTTACACCCCTCCCGACTACACCGTGTATATCGGTATCTATTGTTCCATAAGAATGGCTGCCACCGGACCACCACCACCACAAAGAAACCTTGCATTACCTGGACCCAGCCGCCAAAGAAGATACGACGTGCCCTATGCTATGAAGTTAAATACAAGATCATCCAAGAGTTGGAGAAAGGAACAAGACAGGTTGATTTGGTGCGCCAGCATGGTGTGAACGAATCTACGATCCGGACAATCAAGAAGGATGCAGCCAAGATAAAAGAACACATGAACATCACAAAGTCTACAGGTGCTTCTATGATCAAGTATTGCTACAACAAAGTGCTTCTCAAGACGGAGAAGTTACTTGTGAGCTACTTGATTCGTCAGGCAAGATGGAACATGGCGGTCGACACGCGCTCAGTTCAGGAGTACGTGCATGAACTGTACGCAGCAGTGTCACATAAGATGGGAATTGCAGAGCCCAAACCCTTCAATGCTTCCTCTGGGTGGTTGCAGAGGAACCAACATTAACATTGGTGGTGAAGAAGCTAGTGCTGACCGTGTTGCGGCTAGGGATTTTCCTCCGTTTTTACGTGAGATTATGGAGGAAGGACAGTACACCGACGACCAGGTGTTAAACATGGATGAATCCGGTCTCTTTTGGAAAAAGCTACCTTCCAAGACCTTAGTTGTCAAGGCTGCCAGCAAGTGTCGGTGCCGGAAGTTGCAGAAGGAGCGCATCACCGTCCTATTTACCACCAATGCCTCCGGTGCCTGTAAGCTCAAGTTATCGGTGATCCACACAGCCTACAAGCCGCACGCCTACAAGAACATGGACATGACCAAGGTAAATGTCCACTGTCTGACCGCACGTAAGGTGTGGATGTTCTCTACTCTGTCCCTCTACTGGTTTGATGACTGTTTCGTTCCCGACGTGAAGAAATTCTGTGAGCAACAGAATGTTCCATTCAAGATTTTGTTGCTGCTTGACAACGCACCAGGACACTCGCCCCTACTGTTGGATCGTCACCCCAACGTAAAAGTGGTCTTCCTTCCTCTCAACACTACGTCATTAATCCAGCCCATGGACCAAGAATTAATCTGCAATGTGAAAGCTGCATTCTCTGCAAAGAAGTTTAAGCTCCTGAACAACTATACCAACACCAAGGATGAGTTGCATAACCTGGGTGACACCGATAGCAAGAGCAAAGAGGACGAGGAACAACAGTTGGCAGAGCAAGCAGTACTTGTGAAACACTTTTGGAGGAAATTCATCGTCAAGAAAGTTGTGGACTTCTTGGTGGAGGCATGGGATCAGCTGTCTGTAGCAACGGTTCATCACGCATGGAGACATGTGTTGCAAGGTATCCCAGGTGGAAGGCAGAGTCAATCTGTGACTGGTGAGGTTCAGACTGTTGCATTAGCAGTGGACCTTGCCAGAGAAGCTGCGTAGAGTGTTACAGCTAAAGGCTTCTCTGAGACCACCAACGACGACGTTATGGAGGTGATAGGGATCCTGATGTGACTGCCGACGAGATGTTAGATGATGATAACGTCAGTGAAGAAACAGGCGGTGCGTCATCCCAAGAAGAACGCAAGTTATCGCATGGTAATGGAAGGGGTGCCATCGAGTGTGTAGAGAAACTCAAGCTCCTCCTTTCCGACGACCCTGACGATAACCGGTATGAAGTCTTCACTACCCAGCTGTTGCAGATTATGGAGCCCTACATCAAGGTGTATCACGACAACATCAACACTAGCCGTCAACAAAGCATTACCAAGTTCTTCGCCCGCAACCCACCACAGCCAGCCCAAGCCAGTGATAGTGACAGTGATGGTGACTTTGAGGGATTTGTCAGGGAGGCCCTGATAAGTGTGGATGACAGTGATGGTGACTCACCTGAGGGCCAGTAGCCTGCCCTCTGCCTCGGAACCAGCCTCCATTCCCATACGCCGACCCATCTCTTCTACTAACGTAATTGTTAAACCTAACCTTGATTTTTTCTAACCTAACCTACCATGACATATGTATTAAACCTGATTTTTCTTTTACCTGGTACAGTATATTATTCTCTTATTGATATTTCTCTTCTATATTATGTGTGTGTGTGCATACCATCATAAAGTTAAGATGTTATTTTTACTAAAACGTACGTATTGTGTCGGGAAAAAGTGGAGTTTGGGGGTCAGCCCAGTCTCTATTTCAATTAATCCCATATGTTCTGTCATTCACTTTACGCGTTTCCCGCTTTACACGGGCCTCCGTGGGTTCAATTGACCGCGTAAAGTGAGGTATTACTGTAATGATGATGATGATGATAATAATAATAATAATAATAATAATAATAATAATAATAATAATAATAATAATAATAGTAATAATAATAATAATAATAATAGTAATAATAATAATAATAATAACAATAATAATAACAATAATAATAACAATAATAATAACAATAATAATAATAAAGGACCATAAATAAAAAAAAAAGATCAAAAGTGAGAAACAATATACAGCTGCTCCCTGACTTGCGATGGGGTTTGGGACCCAAATCCAGGTCGTAAGTTGAAAATGCTTAAATAATACATAGAAAATCTAAAATGGTTGTCTCTTTTTCTTCTCAGCACCACAAAACTCTCACTTTTAAGCTTGCCAGCCATTTTAAAGTGAATTACAATTGAAAATTTTGTCAGTACACAGTGCAATCACTGACGTTGGGACCCGAAAATACATGTACGTAATTTGACAAAATTTTGGTACGATTGAGGCGGTCGTATGTCAGGGGGGTCGTAAGCTGAGTATGTCGTAAGTCGGGGAGGAGCTGTATGTATGTTGTGTTGTCAGTAGTAAGAGAAACATTTGAGACCCTGCAATTGTGTGTAAATGAGGCATAAAGTCAGATGAGCAGCCTGGGACTTGGTCACAATTTTTGTGATGCCATATGGCAGCAGGGTCTACCATTAGACATTACATTATGCTTCCAATATCTTCCTAGGCGGTAGTACCTCCCCCACTGACTTAGTAGAGGAATTTGACGTAGCAAAACGCCTGGACAAACTAAAATTAAAACGCTCTACCACCCCCATTGACTTACCAATGAAACTATTCAAGGAGTTCTCCCCGGAGCTTGCTAAACCCCTCTGCTCCATCATCAATGCTTCTCTCAGTCAAGCCAGATGCCCAGCTGACTGGAAGACCTCTTATGTATCACCAGTGCCCAAGTCAACCAGCCCACAATCCTTAAATCAGCTACGACCTATTGCAATCACCCCAATACCCAGCCTAATCTGTGAAAGTTTTGTGTTTGACTGGGCTTATGCTGATATTGCAGGAGTCGTAGACCCTCAGCAATTTGGCAACATGAAAACTTCCTCCACCACTCACTGTCTTGTCAGCTTTCTCGATTACATATACCGCCATCTCGAGAAACGAAAAACGTCTGTAGCTGTCGCCTTCATTGATTTCACTAAAGCGTTCGACCTAGTCGACCACAATATAATCATAAACAAAGCTATTGACCTCGGGCTTCGGAGAAGTCTCATACCATGGCTTACAGACTTCCTCAGTGACCGACGCCAAGCTGTACGCTTCCGAGGGGCTGTCTCCACCTTTCAGTCACTCACCTGTGGCGTCCCCCAAGGCACCAAGATGGGACCACTCTGCTTCCTTATGCTCATCAATGATGCCCTAAGAGAAACCCCTGCTCGCTGGAAATATGTCGACGACTCCACCATTGGGATCAGCGTCAACAATTCTGCTCCCAACTATACCGCCCTTCAGGATTTATTGACCAGTCTCCAAAACTGGGCCACCAACAACCATGTCACCATCAACCATACCAAGACCATGGTTATGCACATCAACCTCTCCTCCGACATTGTCCCACCTCCTTCCATTACCCTAGGTCCGAACACACTCCAGGTTGTAGATTCCACGAAGCTCCTCGGCGTCACCATAGACAACAAACTAAATTGGAAACCACACGTCAGTGAAGTTGTCAAATCCTCCAGTTTCCGTCTCCACCTC